CTTCAATATTCAGGCGCTGACCGGCAGAATCGAAAGGCTGAGGGGTTCTTCGAGGGCTTGGAGTAGCATACGGTGAACCCCAAGCAGCTGCGTAGTAGGCACCGCTTCCGTCCCGCTGTCGAAGATAATCCGGGGATTGACGATAGTCTGGAGGATCACGATCGCGGCGCAGGGTCGGTAATGGGGGTAGGGTGAAAGGAGAGATCCAATCGGTTTCTGAAGGAGTGGACGAAAGACTGTGTGCTTTCAGTGGATGGAACGAGACCTGAGAGTCAGGGTAGGGGTAGATGCCGATGCGGTGACTGGCAGAAGGGGTGCTCTCGAAGTGATTGAGCTCGTCGAGGTTCATGAACGGAGGTCTTGAGAGGTTGAGGCTAGTGGTCGCAAGACGAAGGAGGAGGAACTAAGTTCCAGGATCTCGAGCAGCGCAGTGTCGGGAGAGCAGGGACTGGAAGACACGCTCAACGCCATGGAAAAAAACACGATAGACGGTGAAAACGAACCAAGTTCAGTTGGGTGTTGGAAGTTGTCAAAATTAGAGAGCATGATGAGGATCGAGATTGGGAAATCAGCCGGGGATTCGAGAAACGGTGCTCATTAGAGACGGTGACGCGACACGCTGAAGTGGATATTAGTGGATATGCTTTCAGTGCCTAAAGGGCCTTGATCTGCCGCCTAGTACCGCCCAAGTTCCTCTATTGCCTCTGTTGGCAGCCCCTAATTGGCTGGGTCTCCGCTAATACACGGCGCCGTCCGCTGTCAAAACTGGAATCGCTCCAAGGGTCAGGGATCAGGGTCGCAGGGTGGATGCACGCCTCCCGAAGACGGACGCACTACTACGAGTAAATTCTCCGATACACTACCATTAATTAGGGAGTAGACCACTGTGCGACCGTTTGATTCCCCTGAAGAGTAAGAATTTTCTCTGTAGATTATACCCTTACTAGTATGCCCTGCACGTGTGCCCTCAATTAAATAAAACTCACTTCCCACTCATGCCACATTTCCCCAGATATGTTCAATCGCAATGATTTTACTTTGTTTTACCACAGCCAAATCGCGCCCCATGCTGGTCATTGTCGTAGGTCATTAAATCGTGATCCAATCCGGATGCTTCCAGTCTCGCAACTCACTCTTAGACCTCCTGGGTGATTGGAACCATCTCCTCCAAAACGCCTTGCTGTTTGTAAATGGAACGCTTCAGAACGGAACTGCCTCCCTGTGAACTGAAAAATTCTTCCAGGCCGCATCCAAAGCCGTGGTAGCCTCAAAAAGGATTTGCCGACTGTCGTAATCGACGTTCTTCCTGATCTCGTGGAAGCGATTTGCCTCGGGTACCGGCTCTCCTGCAGACACGCCTTCCTCCTCCAGTTCGATGATTCTCCGTGCCAAGACGGCCATGATGGGCCCTTCCCAGACGCCCTCTTTACCGGCTCTCTTGAGTTGAGCCACTGCTCGCCGTCGGATACCCCAGTCTCGACACTTGCAAGCCGTGAAGAAGAGAGGGTGTATAATGCCCAGCTCCATGGTGAACGGGGTGAGCTCATCTTCCAGGGGCATTGCTTCAGCCAAACTAAGAGCCGTCGTCACCTGCTCAACCTTGGATACCATATCCTCGAAGTCGTCCGTGAATGCGTCAAATGTGGTTTCGGGTCCACAATCTACGCACACCTTGAGCATCATAACTGCAGTCTTGATCTGCAGGCGGAGGCCCAACAGGCTTTTGATGTCAGCACGGCCCAGCCTCGGACCCTGGATTGAGAAGAAGTTCTCTAGAGCTGCCATCCAGGCATCAAAGATATCAAGAGCCTCTTGCCGTCGAGTCTGCCACTCTACCGGCACAGCATCTTTCTTCCAATATCGGTACATGCGCGCATCGGATTTGACCAGTTGGTAGACCGACACAAGGAGGTTGTCCAGATGGTTGCGAACTTGACTCAAGGTGAGATTGGTCGGTAGTATTCGAGGGACGTGGCCAATCTGGGTCAACAAAGGTTCTGCTCGCTCCTTGGAAAACGTGCATGCTTGAATATCGTAGCGGGCAAAGACCCGGAGTAGTTCGTCCAACTCATCTTGAGGAATCTCGCGAAAGGTCGGCCGTGAGCCGGACGATTGCTCTGGCGAATAGGGTGTAAGTGAGTTGTCATTATCCTGAGGGAGATTCATTTGTCTGATCAGTTCTCTCATTCCTTGCTGATAGTGGATGACAGCAGCCATATTGTTGCGTCGAAGAACTTCGAAGCAGGCAAATAATATACTTGAAATGATGGCGAGCTTGGCGTTGGTGCTCGAGGGGGTGTTGAGTCTCTGGTTCAGGTCGCGCAACGCACCCCCGTATAGCTTCAAGGCGTGTCGGTAGCTCTGGTCGTCAATCAATTGGGGGCTGTATTTGCCACAGCGGTCCTGGTAATCCTCATGCAACGTCCCCAAGGCAATGATTGCGTTCCGGACCACTGGTTCCTCGTGACCCACTTTGAGTACGAGTTTTGTCCAGAACCCGGTTTCGGAACCTCCAGCGAATGCAGGCACCGTGCAGTACTGGAAGCGGTGGAAGATGCGACGTTCTTGAGTGTTGCCTTGAAATGGTTTGGAAATTGAGTTGGGTTGAAATAGATGTTGGAAAGACACCGGGCTCTGCTGTGGTGGCGACAAAGCGGTCGACGCTGAGCCGCTGGAGCTGTCTTTGGGAAACTCGTACCCATCGCATTTACGACCAGTGGAGGTACATCGCTTACCTATTGTGAGGTCAAGTGAGCACTAATCCGGACCACGGCGAGAGGATATGGCACGGGCCAGATGCGGAAGCAGGGAAAACTTACAACTGGGCTTTGTCTCATCACACTTTATGCGCCGTATCTGCTCGCATCAGATGAGTTAAAATGAAGTCAACCCATGATCTCATGTCAAGTACATGCGATGAGACCAGTAGGAGAGCGTGGCAAGAGGTAAGGAGGCGATTTTGGTCAGACACGGGTCGACGAGACGACTTGTCTGATCGTTCAGCTACCCACCGATGTGGCTGGGAAGTCAAACGAGCAATGAGCCGTACATTTGTGGTGGAGGGAGGAATGTAGCGAGAGGGCAGGCCTGGGTTGGGTGGGGACAATGCCGTGGTAGGGGAAAACTCACCTTGCATGTTTTGCATCCCGTTCGTACTTTTGGTTTGCTAGCTCTTTTCCTTCGGGAGGCCAAGACATAGGAGGTACCATTGGAGGAGCCCTGTCGTTCACCCACTCTGCCAGGCATGGAGCCAGTGAGGGCAAGGACTAGGTCGGTATCAGGCTCTGCGTCAGGCACAGGCACATACTGTGGGACAAGCGAGTGGGAAGGGACATGAATAGCGAAGGAGCGAGCTTGGGGTTCTGGCCACATGGTGGGCGGCCGAAGTTGGAATAAAGGTGGCAACCAAGGTAAAGTTGCGTCAAAAGTACGAGGGGTACCAGTCGCGGACTTTGCAGTCAGGTGGCCAACAGCAAGCGGCGGAGAAGTCCAAGCTCGCGAATGAGATCTGCGGCGGCCGAGATTGGTACAGTGGCGGATGGGCGCTGCAGTGGTTTCGGGGGGCGTGTGAGTGAGCGCGATATGCAGGTACCGTAGGGGGGTTGAATGATGATGATGATGGAGCAGGAACTGTTACGACGAAGGCAAGCTTGCGGAAATTATTGTACGTATATACCAATGAAGATGACCTGGAATTGCCGTCAACGTCTATGCCGAACTTTTGCAGGTCCTTTGTCGACGAGATAGCCGTGCCAGGTTGCTCCAGAGCACTTGAGGCCTCAGCTGTAGCAAAGAGTCTCGGGGGCCGGAATTCATCCACGCAATAAGAGCCAGCAGACGCACGATGGGCAGTCGCACAGGCAATGACGAACAAGCCCAACAAGCCTGGAAGGGCAATGAATTAGGCGGTGTCGCCGAAACTTGTCAGCGAACTGTGGGTGATCCCTAGGTACCAGGGAGGCGGCACAGTGTAGGGGCGGCCCAGAGGCCAACGAGAAAAGAATAAAAATAAGAATAATGGACCGAGGCCAAAATGGTCGAGATGGGTGCCAAAGGAGGTACGTGCGAATGAGTTTTGCAGGAGTTGGTGTGATGTGGTGCCTTGCGCGGTTGAGGTTGGAAAGAGAAAAGACAAAAGGACCTTTTTTCTGGTGGGGAAAGGGAAGGCGGAAAGGCAGAGAGAAGCATGAGGAAGAAAATAGAGGGGGAGACTCGACAGAGTCTCAGTTGGCCGCAGTCCAAGCTGCGGAGAGGCCGACTGGGGCCTGTATTGCTTGATCCATTTTGATTGGCTGGCTCGTAACACTGGACTGCAGAGATGCTCGCTCGGCACTGTACGAGTCGCCCTCATAGGCCGTGCAGGACGGCTGTGTAGCCACAGTCCACCTCGTATCTACCTCGCTACCTCCTCTTCAAAGTGTGTTCCCGTACTCACACGGAGTCAGCCTTGACCGAACGCCGCCTCGTATTCAAACGTGCCGAGCGATCTACTCGCCTTCCTGCGCACACACGATTGAAAGAACATGCAGGCAATCTACCCTCGTAGCGAGACTTCAGGAACCCAACGGTTGCCATTGGCCCAAGAAAAGGAGGATCTTGAGCCTAGACGAGGAGTATGCCATAAAGATCAGCTTGTTAAGATTTCCCATCGCATGTGAGCGGGAAAATGGAGATCTTCGTACTGGGGTTGTTCCCGGTTATCTCTCATATAGAGTGAGGCCCATTCGTGAGGAGTGGCCGACAGCACCATTTACGAGTACCCCTACCCTCTAAATCTCGCAATGGACATACCGTACGTGTAAAATTATACGCAAGGCACAGAATTTCACTCTCGGATCCTCCTTGACAAGACATACGAAGTGTGCATGAAATATGACACGATGCTTCCGAGGCCCATGTTAGATACATTGGTATTGGCCAAGGCACGTGCTCCATTGCTCAGAGTCTGGATCAAGGCCCTTCCGATGACTAGAGGTGTTGGCAACTTGGCAATCCAAGGCTCACAACTCATCGTGCTGTCCCTGTTCCCTCCCGGCAGCATTCCAGGGTGCTCTTTTCCCGTGCAAAATTTCCAAGAGAAAGGCTTCTATGTTGTCCGCCTCGATTCGTTTCGCCGCTGGATACGGAAATACTTGATCCTTCCAAGCGCTATACACGGTAAAACTCGGATAGTGGCCCCTGTGCAGCCCAAGGCCTGTGGTCATGTGGCCGTATTCGTCGCCGTCAATCGTGACGAAGTTGACATAATCCTTGTACTGCTTTGCAACGGGGTGAAGCTTTCGACAGAAGAGAGCGCGATCGTTGTCGTCAGTGACGAATATATAGGCAAGCAGTTTATGGGACTGTGGAATTAGCACGCGACCTGCTTCAGATCAGGGCTGGTCAGGCTTACACTCATGTAGTTGATTTCGTTTCGGCGAGTCAGCTCATCTATGAGTGGCTTTCCTGCCTCAAGAACGAACTTTTCAATGACAGATTGGCTCACGGTGCCCGGCAGGATCTCTCGATCGCCAACATCCGTCATGTAAGAAACGATAGAGGGGAATGTGATCTTCTCCTTTTCTGCCAGTCTCTTGTCGTCCGAGATCCCAAAGACGAATTGGTCCTGGTACTTCTGTGCAGTTCTTATGAATTTTGATCTCATGGAATGGTCCTCCTTTTTCATAAATGCCACAAACGTCACTCGATCTATCCCAGTTAATCTCGTGATATTTTTGAAATTCACCTCCGAGACCGCCGGAAGGGAGACACGCCGGACGAAGGGTACGATGGCGGATGCTTTGCGCGGACCTCTATATCGCACTGATTCATGGGGACCACGGAAAAGGCGTATGGCAGGATAAGAATGCACATTATGCGCGGCGCAGAGGGTCTGATTCACGGTACAGTCGATGCTGATGGCTGGACAAGTGAGTTGAGACTTCACCGCTGCCCACTCTGACGCGAGCGATTGGCAGGGAGCTGTCCACGGCTGGGAGCATGTCAGGAACGGCCTTCAGAAGCTTTACGTAGGGACAATGAATACCGCAACGAACGCTGTTAGCGTGAGGTCGTTCGAGTCGACAAGGGACTGGAACTCAACGTCGGACACATGCTGCCATTGTGCGTGCGCTGCAGCAGCCAAACCAGCAAGTATGACACGAGCAAAGAGGTGCATCTTCATGGCAGGAGGGAGCTGAAGGCACTCAAGAGGGATGAGAGATCATTTTGCGACGGCTCATGGTCTCTGGTGAGACAGGCCTGTAAGCTGCAATGGTGAAACAGTCGGGGGAAGCAGACGCTTTAAGGGGCTGCAATGTTCGAGGAAGCAGGGAGCGCAATTGTGCCATCTTCAGAGAGCTGACTGCGTGCACGATGCTCACGAGTTTCTGTTGACTATATGCGAGAGGTGGAAACTGTTCACGCTGACGTTGGCTTTCAGGATGAAGATATTTGCAGGTTGTTATCTTATCGCCGGCCTGGTGTCAAGCTCCGCCCTTGTTGCCGCATTGGACAGCCAGGCACACCTCACTCCAGATTGCACTCATCCGCACTATACCATCCATCTCTTCTCTCGCGAACCGCTCGTCATCTACATTGCCGACTTCCTCACCTCCGTCGAGCGGGAGCACCTCCTTGAAGCGAGGTAGGTTACGTACTCCAATGCTTTTCGCCCTTCCTGCCTCCAGGCTCACGTTCATACACAGCGCCTCAACCTTCACCGATTCCCAAACAGCTGACCAGGACGGTACGCAAACCCTTCGTAGCACTCGACGCTCCAAGTCGGCCACTGCTTCCCGTGACGCTGTAACACGATGTATCGAAGAACGGGCTCTGCTATTCCAAGGATATGACACGCCTCGGACACACCTTGAGCCGTTGCAATTAGTGCGCTATCATACCAACGAAACTTATGATCTTCACACGGACTGGTTCACGTCACCGGCGCAGACGACTCGATCGCACGGCGGGAATCGTCTGTCTTCGTTCTTTGCATATGTGAAAGCAAGTGCAGATATCTCTGGTGGAGGTACGACATTTCCACTTCTGGACGTGCCAAAGGACGAACGTTGGTGTGAATACGTTGATTGTGACACGCCTTTTGATGAGGGTGTGACATTTCTTCCCATCCCTGGAAATGCAGTGTTTTGGGTAAATATGGTTGCGGGGAGGGGGGACCAGAGAGTTATCCACTCCGGGAGCGTTGTGACTAGCGGCGAGAAGGTTGGATTAAATATCTGGACAAGAGAGGGGCCGTTGAGCCCAAAATTTAGGGGAGATATCGATGGGGAGCAGGCTGATGAAGACGAGGACGAACCATAAAAGGAACGCCGCACAACGGTTGAGAGTTGATACATCACTTTGTTAACCACCCGCCGCCTGGCTTCATATGGAATGGCAGTCCTGGGCACCCATAAGAGTAGCCTACCTTGACTGGCTCTCATCAGCGAAGACTACCACCGGGTTTTTAGGCGTATTTCTGCCTGAATGTGCTTTAGATATGTGTGTACATGGAAATGAGTATGTCGTGTGCTAGAACAGAGAAAAATCACTATGACGTCAACTGCTAGCAGGGTAAATGTTGTTCCGGTAAAAGACGTTGAAACGCGATCGCGTTGTCGAAAGTGTCAGAGGCCGCAGATCGCAGATGTAAACATACTGTAGCAATAGTGAAGAAAACAGACATTGTTGTATTGTTAGTCGCCTCCCAAGCACACGAATAATATGGTAGGTACAAACATTCTGTCGCGCCCTCTTTTGCAGCGACATCACCTGCAAAGTGCAATCCCTGTCACCTCTTCCCTTCGTCACGCTCTGTCACCAGTCTAACAAAAAAGAAGGCTTCCCTCCGTCGTCTTGCCAAAGACCATGCAGCATTGCGCACTGCGCTACCTCCAAATTACCTCTTCCCAGACGCCGACCATGGTTCAGCCATTCAGGATGATCTTTCCCAGCTCGTCATCTGCATTACCGGCGCTGAGGGCACACCCTACGCCGAAGGATTATGGCGACTGCATCTCAAAATGCCCCACGACTACCCGAAAAGCCCTCCGAAGGCAACCTTCCAGACACGAATATACCACCCCAATGTTGATCCCACGACGGGAGCGGTGTGCCTAGAGACGTTGAAAAGAGATTGGGATCCGAAGTTAACGCTGAAAGACATCTTGATCACGATATCGTGTTTATTGATTCAACCCAATCCGGACTCTGCGTTAAATGCAGCCGCAGGCGCACAGATCCAAGAAGACTACGACACCTTTTCTACACAGGCGCGGTTGATGACTCGAATCCATGCACCCATTCCGAAGCATTTGTCAGATGCCGTCCAGGAGGCGAAGCGTCGAGGGGAGGAATCCGAGCAAGAACTGAAGGAAAAACGCTCATCCCGAGGAACATCGGCGGAGGACGACACGAAAGAGAATGCACCTAGTCTGTCCAGTGCAGTGGTCAAAGATGCCACATCAGGGAGCAAAGAGAAGCGAGCTCTCTCGGAAATAGCATTGATCGATGGGGATGATACGCAACAACGGTCTGAGGAGATTGAAGAACCAAAGCGAAAATCCCCCAAAACGACGCGGATGTCTACACCTGACCAGACCAGGGCGGTTCCCTCGAGTATCGCTAGCAACCATGGGTCGCAACAAAAATCATATGGAGAACCAGGCCAAGTGGCACAAAACAAGGAAAACATACACAGTGAGGAGCTGGCACCGAAACCAATATCAACACGAAAGACCAACACAGGTGCAGGAAAGAAGAAGCTCCCGCGAGTTGGTATTCGGAGACTTTGAGGCGGGGACGGAACAGGTGTCCAGGTTGTTCTAGATCTTCCTTGTGTTGGTCCAAGCGTTCAAGCGAATTCCATGAGTACTTGTTACAAGGAAGGTGGCGTGTCATATCGTTGGAATGTCGACTAGGTTTGTCACTGGGCAGGCTGGGACGCCCACATTGCCACGGAGTTACGTGGAGCGGGAATTTCCAGTCAAACGGATAGGATATCCATGGTTCGGATGGAGTACTTCGTACAGCGTGGTTGGTTGCAGATAAATGCAAACGTTTAGAGATACCCACCACAGAATGCCTTAAGAATACCAGCTATCGACTATTGTGAGGTGGTAGTGAGAGCCTTGGAGTTGTATACCTAATTCGTATATTGTTTATTCACAGGATCTTTCACTCGACCTTCGTAACCCCTTCTTCCCGGGACACCCCTGAAAAGTCTTCTTGTGCCCTCCTCAGTGCGACGCAAGGGATAGCGTGGCCAGGAGCGGACACATGAAACTCGGCAACCAGACCCCAGCCGTCACCCATTCAACGGGACTAACGGGACTAACGCCTCCAACCTCCAATTAAACTACATCCAGCCACGCACTTTACCATCTACAGCTAGTCAGTACCCACTCGACTCGCGTTATCCTGCACGTCATTGGCATCTTTCGTTCTGCAAACAAAGAATAGTCCGGTGCCCCGCCAACATTTTTTCCCAGTTCTAGCCTCCACTACAGAACAAATGGGAAGGCCGTAGGGGGGGGGGTTGGTTGGTGTATATGGCGGTTGCGGCGAGGGAGGAATGTATATAGGGTCCCTGAGAACATGCCGCTGCAAACGGTTGTCTTATTCTCCTTCAACTACTCATCCACATTCAATACAAGTTCAAGCCTGTCTGCATCCCATACCATCCATCAACGAGCAACAGTATATCGTCTAGACATTCAGTCGCAAAGAGAATCTCCAAACAACAGTACCTCTACTCCTAGCTTGAGAACGACAGCGCCGACCAGAACCTTTCATCAACAACATCAGTCAGAATGTATGCTTCGCAGACCACCCTTTCATCACTTTCCCTCGCCGTGGCTATCTTCCTCCAAGTAGCACGTGCAGACACAACCATGGCAGCCGTGTCCGAGATATCAGACGGTCAGCCCCAGGGTCCCGTTGCCTCGACGAGTTGGCCCAGCGAGTCGTCGTCCGCCTGGTCCCCTAGCACCACCGCGGAAGATTCATCATTGTCCACATCGTCCTACGAAAACCCCTTCACCATCTACACGTCAATGACCAATTCTTTGGGAGTCATCACAGGTATGCCGCCAGTCGTGACATCGCAACCCACGCAGCCCGCCGTCATCACCAGCCAACCAGCTTCGCCCACGCTGCCCACCTACTCGGGATTCTGGTACGGCAACAGTTCCAGCACCAGCTCGACCGCCATCATCACGTCGAGTCCCACGACTCTTGCGACCAGCGCGGTTGCCGAGAGCTCGTCAGACAATGGCGCTGGCACCACCTCGTCAGGGACTGCCGTGGCCACGTTCGCCCAAGCCACCGGCGCTGCAGTGACGAACAAAGTCGCCGGCGCCGGTATCGCCTTGCTTGTCGCCGCTTTTGGGTTCTCCTTGCTGTGAAACCCGGCAGGATGAGGATCTGCAGCTCAACCGAAGCTTATAAAATTGTTCTTTCGACAACACGGGGAAAAAACTATTCTCTCCTCATTTTACAGCGAAGCATGTTCATCACAACAACAAGTTTTTTCATGCATAACGAGCGCAGGCGAGACGAAGATTATTTGAATGGTTTCGGAAAACTTGGCGTCGAATTTGCCATTGAACGAATGGTACGGATCTAATGAGGATATACGACGGTAAACAGCACCTGCAGCGACTTGGGAATTGGGATTGTATCAAAACACGTATCATGACGGGGAAAGTGCTCTGGCGCTTGTCAAGCAGGATCAAACAGTGGTTGTGGTCTACGAAATCACTACTAGATAGAGCAGATTATGGCCTGTTAGAAGGGTTCACAAAGCGCACGAATCAAAAAGTAATATCGAATCGAGTTTGCTCTATGGTTTCCTCTCCCAGATGTTTTTGCCGATTGTATTCTCCACTCGGATCTAGATCTCGTACCGATTAGTCTAGCGTTGTCCTTGAAAGTAGATCAGATCCCATAGTACATGGTTGGTTTCCTCCGAGTGTCATGGCTGGCAGTCGGCTACACGAGCGAGACTTAAGGAAGGACCCTTTGTGCGCCCTCGTCCAGCATACCTATGGATCATGATACCCCAAGGCCAACGAAACGCCGTCTGACAGGTCGCATTTGAATGGTTCGTAGCAGAATCATAGCGGCTGGGCGGCAGCTGCGTCAGGACTGTGTTGGGTGTGGAAGATCATGCAGCCCAAGAGTGATCCGATCATCGCAGATAGCCTCAGAAGAGAATGACCAGCATCGGAGCATCCTCAAAGACGGAAGGTATAGATCGTGGACTAGTAATATTCCAGGCTCCGCCTCTTCGAGTAGCCTTAGTTGCGCGACGGCTGAGATTTCTCTTTGAAGAGCAGGAAGTTTGTCTTTGGCGGGATATTGTGAATCGAGCATCTCTCAACTCTTGACTCCAGCGCCCTGCTGCTTCACCCACTCGGCAAACGCCCTCCTCTGTGCCCTGATATCCACAAAGCCCACCCTCTCCTCCAGTCCCCGAAATGGGTTTGCCAATCCGCCTTCCCGCTCGATCTGCCCGGCCCAGGCGCTCCAGCTGACGGGTTTCAGTGGGTCGGAGCCCAGAACAAGGCCGAAGCATGCCAAAAAGACTGATACCAGGGTCTCGAGCTTGATGTCCAGAGGGAGAGCGGCGTTCTTGTGCAGTTTTGTGGAGAGTGTCGAAAATTCGTGAGCGGAGTAGGCTCTGCAACACACGCCGTCAGTATTGTGATCCGTGAGAAGCCGGGTTAGCGGTATACATACGCATGAAACAGGGATAAGAGCCCAACGAGGACCAAGAGGCGCGAGATTACCGCCATGTTGGAACAGCCTGGTTGTTGCAGTGGTCCCAAAGGTGATGTGCTGTGCTGTTGCGATGAAGTTGGTGCTGGACTGTTCGGATAAACTGCGGAACTAATGTCACGCTAGTGCTACAATAGGAATCCTCCTTTGGCCGCTTTTATCTTTCCAGCCTTCCAATGCCCATCTCATGCATCTTCTTTTCCCCTTTGGCATCTATTGCGCATGTATCTGTCCGAGAATACCATGGCACTCTTAACCGACAGGCTGCCTCTCAGTTCAAGGCCCTTTCAGCTTCTAGGAGGACATCTCAGTGCGCAACGTATGTGGTGATGGCGTGCCCGTGGTCGAGGAGCCACTCTGGTCGCGGACTTGGCCGATTCAGTCATATCTCCCCCCTTTTCAATTGAGCGCCAACACCATTACCAGTCACCACCCGGTGTCTGCGAGTTAAGGTGACATTGAAATAGCATACTCCCTTTTGGTTCCTCTCTGAGATATTGAATATCCCCCTGCTGGCCCCCCCTGTTCACAATGCTGCAGTCCATAACGAGATTCTCCAATGATGCCCGTAAGCGATCGTTTTCCCTGGCATCCTCTCTCACGCGAGCTGCCAAAATCTCCAGGACAAGCAAATTTGCTTGCTTGCGATAAAGCAAGCCATTAACAAGAAAGTGGAGCTGACGTGTATTGATTTGTGATATTGAAAGTTGGCGTTGAGAAGAGCCTCAAGTTTTTACAGTCGACTTCACAGATTGCAGCAACGGTCGGCTATCTATCACCAGACGAGGCTGCCCTGTGGCTCACAGCCAAGGATCAATTCGCGCTTGGTGAGAAACTTCTACTCCAGTTACCGATATTAAACGACCTCATGCTGCCCACCCCCAGGTTGGTAACTGACAAAGTGGCTCTCCAGCACGCCGATTTCTCCGTCTCTTCAAATGGATCGACTGTTGGAATACGGCGTACGGCCAGTATCAATCCTTTCCTTCGAGCAAGGCGACGAAAGGTCAACCAACAAAGCCATCGCAGCCATCAATCGCGCAAAGCAGCGTTCATTCCCTCCTCATTGTCTCAAAATGGTCATTGCTCGGCATGTACCTGTTCATAGAGATGTTTACCATTGTACGCATTCCAACAAGCACTGTTTAAAAAAATTTTGCCCCCGGCGTAGCGCGCGCGCTGACTGAGGGCCTTCAACCCGCTCAACAACTAGGTTGATGCAGTCCTCGGCACCTGGAGACCGTGGGCGGTAACCGCCCAAACTGAAGCGTTGAAATTCTGGTTCTACGCCTTGTCGGCGTCCATCGCCTTGAGCCTGTACGAACTCTTGTTTGTCTACCCGGACCCTGCATCATCGAAGAACAACAACAACAACCAATCAGCCAATGAAAAGAAGGGGAAGACGACCTCGACCGTAGTCGAAAAGACTAGTCGCAAGGGCGCTGTCGACGAATCCAGCAAACCAGAGCAGACGAGACCAAGGAACCCTCCAACCGCGAAACGCAACGCTATCTTTCGGCAACTGGTCATCGACACCTGTGATTTGCTGATCCCAGCTGCAGCGGTGGGATGGTTCCCACTCGATCCTGTCACGGTCGGCGCTGCAGGCTCGGTTAGTGCTCTGCTCGGCGGGTCGGATGTCTGGTATCGCGTCAATGCATGACTAGGAGAGAGTTGGCCTATAAGGACACTGAGGGGGGGGGTTTCTTCTCGGCTGTCGTCGTCTTCGTCTCGCTCTTTGCGGGGAACGAAGATCTTGAGATTTAGAGGCGATGCGCCCAGTCCAGTCCCTGAACAGGGGGGCGGAGATTGACAAGACTGCACGACCATCACCACCACCACCACCACACCACCACCACCACCACACCACCACCACCACCACCCAGCTTTATATCTTGCGATTCTTGGAAGAGCCCATAACTCTCTCTCACCGTGGCGGCGATTCACGGCCAGAGGGACTGTGATGGTCTGTGATCAGGGTGCATGACTCGCACGTCCTGGTCTGCCTCTTATGGTCACCACACTCGCCTCATTCCATGCACACACCTACAGCAGGATCCTGCCCTTTACGTACCATTACACATCCTCATTCTCCCCCACCTAGCTTCTCACAGCATTCGTGAAGATTAAGAATTTCAACGCAGATCATTTGGGAATGTTTTATTATTTAATCTCTCTTCTTCCAAGCAAGCGAGCTATATAGGCTCGGGACTCATCTACATGTCATGTCGTGCGTGCATGCTCTGCATACAGTGCGGGCTCTCGAAACCATTGTCCATCCAAGGTCATCAATCAATCCAAATTGGCATAGTAACTCTCGTCCTGGTTCAAGAGATAAAAGGCATCGGGCTCGGGCTGGCCAAAGCCGCCGTGCCAGACCGGGCTGGGCAGGCTCACCAAGCCACCGCCCTCCTGCGGGGTGTCTGCGAAGATGTGCTCGAACGTCTTGGCCCACTGGACGCGGTTGTTTAGCCCTTCGAGACCCCACAGCTCCTGCAAAAAGTGCAGGATCGACGAGTGCGTGTAGGCCGAGTTCTCGGCGTACGTGGTCCCCTGGTCGTGGATGAGCGTGTTGGGCGGAATCCACGGCGAGATGGCAAAGGCCGGAACGCGCACGCCCAGCCGCGTGAAGTCGTACGTGACGTTGTGCCCGTCAGACATGCCTGAGAAGGTGATGCCGTCAGCAGGCGCCGGCACGCCCACGGGAGGAGGGACGTGGTCGGCGAATCCTCCGTGCTCGTCGAAGTTTCTGCCTCAAAGTTAGCATTCTTCGAGGACAAAGGGAAAGAGGGAGGCGACGTGAAAGACACGGGCTATCCAAAAGAATAAACGGAGCCCAACCACCGATGAGGGGGATTTTAGTTGGTTGATAAACTTACATGATCAGGAGCCTATTTTATCATTGAGATTCAAAGTTAGTCACGGCACCTTGTGGAACAAAGCGAGGAGGGAAGGAGGAGCTCCATACAAATTATCCCAGTACGAAGAGTTACGCAGCGCGTCGTAGAGATGCTTGATCATCATCTCTCCCGCGGCCATATTGCTGGTCGGGTGCATGGAATCGATGGTGCAGCACTCTGGGTTGATGTAGGAGAACTGGGGGAGCTCGTTGTTCTCGAGGTCCTTGTAAAACTGGTCGGCGTGCACGAGGCGATCCATGGCGTTGTCCTGGACCCATTTGTACATATGCGCGTCGATGATGTCGGTCTCGTAGTAGTTCTTCCACGAAATGTTCTTGTTCGAGAGGGCCTCGAAAATGGACGGCGTGCAGCTGGTGCCCGTGGTGTTGCTGAACCAGCCGGCGGCCTGGTCGGTGTTGTCCACGTAACCGCAGGTAGAACCTGAGGTTGCGAATTGGCGATTAGGGTTAGTCGGGCCCGGGTGCTCGGCGAAGTAGGTGTCCCAGAATGCATAGTTTTGGGCCAAGGTCGAGAGAGTGGTGGCCATTTTGGGGTCATAGGCCTTGATCACAAACGAGGAATCTCCCGGTGTTGCGTTGTACTTTTCAGACTGTCTCTCGATGAAACCTGACATGTCCGGGATATCGTCCGCCGTTGGCTGCCATTTGCGGTAGATCTCGTAGCTGGTGCCCGCGAAGTTGTGGTCGGGGTCCTTCAGGGGCACTTCAGCCTCGTACTTGCCGGCACAGATCAGCAGGGGTTCATCCCACACTGTCCAGTTCGGGTTGGTGAACTCGTTGCAGAAATTGATGTTGCGCAGGTTGTCAATGTCGTTGAAGTCCCAAAATCCGGCGATGTTGTCGAACGAGTGGTTCTCCATCATCAGGTAGACGACGTGGGTGATCTTCGAGCTCAGCCCTTGCCATATTGAGGCTTGTCGGCTGACTGGGAGAGCGGCAGTTGAGGAGACGAGCGCAGAAGCACCCAGAAAAGAGAGTAGGGCTGCCATTTCGAAGTAACGGGCTGCTTTCTGTTGTTTGCGCTTGACCGATTCCAAGGGACGAAGCTGGCAGCGCGTTCCAGTTTTATGCCTTCTGCACACCTCATGCCTTGAAAACGCAAAATTTTCCTGGACGGCGTCTCCCCGAACAGTTCTCAACCGCTGCGGTGCACACAAGATGCCGTGATTTCCTATCTCAAGTGCCGTTCGAAGATTGATAGCCAATGCCGGTGTATCGTTATCAACACGTTGCTTTAGCACGGGGACAACGCTCCACGACCGGCATGTCACCTTCCGAGAACGGGATAAAAAGGCTCATCAGAGTTTTGAGGACATGTAGTCTGTAGTCTTTTCCAGGTGGATAATGAGCTTCGGCAAGGTGCTAGGGTGCTGCATTGACTGCCCGAAGCTGGAATACAAGAAAGCTGCCATCGAGATAGCCTCGTCAAGTGGAGACGGTGGAGACTCATGAACCCAGCGGGGCGGAACGTGCATTAGCCTGAGCCTTGGATCCACCGTGTCCGCATACGCTAGGGACCATCCAAGCTTTGACCTGCCGGGCAAAGCAAGCTTCGGGGAGCTTGTCTGACATTGGCGTGCTGCAATGACCCCGAAGGCTCCAATCATCGTGCTTTCTTTGCAGCTGACAAGGCACGTTGCTCACGAGCTCGAGTGGCCAGGGCAATGCGATCGTCATGTTGCATAAGAGCCACCAGGGCCATGTTCCTGAGCTGCTTCCATTCTGTTCCTTTCACCACGCTAAAAGCTATGGCCCATGAAGTTTTGTTTTGTTGCTGCTGTGCACGTTGCCCGTCGACAGGCGTTCAAGTCCTAGCGATCCCGTTGCGTTGGCACTAGGAAACCTTCTGCTTCGTTCCCATGTCGAGAATTCGACGTGATTCTGCTTCAGGAAGGTAGGAAATGGAAGGCAAGTGCGTTGCCGCGTGGCTTCAGTTTGTTGACTGTGTTACATCCGGACCATGACCCATTGCCCTTCAAGGTAAACCCAGTAAGGCGCGCGGGATGTTGAGGAATGTCTATAGCTCGAATACACCCAGCCTCCCTCCTCTGCGCGAGTTCCCCCTCGAGCTTTGGTCGTTCCTCTTGCTTTTGCTCTTGCTCTGCACAGCTGCCGAGGACATACAACTTGTCGGTTTGACTGCAGAAAGACTTGCCTTCCTGAAGATTCACGCTCATCGACAGTTTCATCCAAGATGTCGATCGACAGCTTCGAAGATACCAATGCCATGGCTGCTATGCTCAAAGCGATGATGAGACGCTCATACACAGCGGTGCCCGTCGACACGGAGAAAGATGCCATGCTGAGACAAACATCCCGTCTCAGCAAAGGCGACGATGCCATCGACACAAGCAGCGAGACCTCTGCAGACACGATGTGTGAGAGACCATCATTCACATCAGAAAGAGAGCGCAGCCCTATCAATGCGAGAATAGTCTCGGATGCTATCATCGGCCTGTCAGATGGCTTGACGGTACCCTTCGCCCTCACCGCCGGGCTCTCAGCCCTGGGCGACACAAAGGTTGTTGTCTTTGGTGGTCTGGCTGAGCTTATTGCCGGAGCCATTTCAATGGGCTTGGGTGGCTACCTGGGTGCGAAGAGTGAAGAGGCCGCATACAAGGCCACATACCGGTCGACACGAACCCAAGTGCTCCAATCGAGCGGCAACCTGTCGTCGGAGATCACGTCCATATTCGCGCCCTACCATCTCTCACCGTCTCTCCTCAAGGACTTTACCCATCAGCTCATCACCTCCAACAGTCCCGACGCGGTGGTGGACTTCCTCATGCACTTCCAACACAACACGCCCGAGCCTGCGCCTAGCCGTGCGGTGGTGTGTGCCCTTACAATCGCGCTGGGATATTTCATTGGTGGTTTTGTGCCACTCCTCCCATACTTCTTCACCAGCAATGTCACGGAGGGGCTGATCTGGAGCATCAGCGTGATGATTGTCGCCTTGTTTGCTTTTGGCTACGTCAAGACCGGGTTCGTCGAGGGCTGGCGAGGTTGGAGGTGTGTCAAGTGCAACCTCGGTGGTGCGGGGCAGATGGTAGTGATTGGCGGTGCAGCAGCCGGTTGTGCTATGGGGGTTGTTCGGCTGTTCAACTCGCTGCAGTAGTAAAAGTTCGAGTAGTGCGAAAGACTAGTCGTGGTGCTCGTGTTAGCTTGCGGTGGGAGGATTTCCAGAAAACTGCGTTTGCGGGTTGTTATCTTTGGGGCAAGGAACTCTCCGGTTGGTTTGGTGGAAGGAGTTGCTGTTTTGGGGGAATGTAGCCAATCAGATGGTCAAAGCGCGGCACTGTATCGCAATTGCCCCAAATTGGGAGGTGGATTGACTACCTCGGTATTTAGTGCCAGTACCTACATATCCCTACAGTAGGCGACCAGGATGCAGCTCTTTCAATGTGGGTAGGTAGTGTGGGTTCCATCAACGGCTACGAGGGGTATGTAGAAGTACGGAATCCCCAACCCTGGCCCATCCGGTGGACAAATGATTATGAGCCATTTACAAACGTCCAGCTTGCCAGTCGCTACTCTGGATCCCACACTATTTCACTCGCTTCGAGCTGGAAGGTCCGAGCTATTGGGGTGTGATGACCACAAACTTGCGGCCTTCTCGGCACAAGGTCCCGATCCGATGCGGTCTGCCTGTACGCGTGGATTCAGCGGGACGAAATTGAAAAAAAAAAATTTGTCGAGGGAGTGAGTCCTCTTCCTTCCTGTGGGATGTCTTCAGTAGTGATTAGTGCGGAGGTGCATTCGGAGTCAGCAGCAATGTTGCTCCGTTGACGACAAAGCGTGGAGCATTAAGGGACCGCGAACTGGGACCAATTAAACTGGAGAAAAGAATATTCAGAGAGATCACGTTTGTGTATTGACTGGTTGTAACTCGTAGCTATCTATTCATCTCCGACTCGGCCCCCACGCGAGGAAGAAGGCCCCCCACTCATATACTCCCATAGCCACCATCTCTCTACGGCGGACTTGTCGTTCCCGCTCAAACTCTCGGCGGCACATCATTCCCAGTCAAGGCATCATAGGGATACGGGTTGGTGTAGTTCATGGTAGCGGCTCTGCCCTTGATAGTGCTGACCACGGATTTCAAGACACCCTTGCCGTGGGCGCAGGTGGAGGCGTTGGTCGGGACCGGCCAGGTATTGACGTACTGGGCGTCAGACACCGGGCCCGGGTACGACGAGTTGAAGAACAGGCCCTTGGTGTTGACGTTGGCGTTCTTGTACCCGGTCTTGTTGGCCACGAGCTCGAAGACGTTGGCGTGGCAATCCCAGCGGCCGAGGGACGGCAGGCCCCAGTTCTGGGACACCGAGGCAATGGTCGAGTAGTGGTTGTAAAAGGTGTCGTCCGTGGTGCCCTTCAAGTGCTCAGGGACGGCGCCGCCGACAAGGATGGAGAAGATCTTGTTCTGGATTCCGTAGGACTCGTTCTCGTCGAAGGTCAGGAGCACCAACGTGTCGTTCATGAAGTACTCGTCCGCCAGCAGTGGGTTCATGAAGTTGCGCAACCATTGGGACGAAAATGTGATATTGGTGTCGTGAGCATCGTTGGTCATGTTCGGGGTGATGAAAGCCCATTGGGGCAGAGCCTTGTTCGCGAGGTCCTCCTGGAAGCCATCGAACCCCTTGATCAACGCTCGTCGGGTGGCATTGTTCGTGACTGACTTGTACAGGATCAAAGGATCGTGCTTGCGGACGTAGTCGTTGGCAAAGGTGACCTGGTTGGAGTAGTTGAAGCCCTGGAAGCCAGGGAAGGGGATGTCTTCCTGATACTCGCCCCAACTGATTCCCTTGGTGTCGAGCAGGTCGGCGACGGTGGCAACGTCTTCGGGGATTTGGTTGAAATCATCGTTGTCCATGCCGAAAGTATCACCACCAGCGGCAGCACAGTAATTGGGCTCCGAGGGGTGAGTGACGGCGAAGTAGTTGGTCAATGTGATGCCTTGTGACGCAAGGAACTTCTGGTTCGGGTCACCAGCGGCCGCCGAGTAGTCAGTGTTCTCCAGCCATATCTGGTAGAAGCGGTTAAAGGCGACCCCCTTGACGTTGCTCACAGGTGACAGACTGGTAGCAGTGGCCGCGGACTGCTGAATCTGGGTGAGCGAGGGCTCGATAGTCGAGACGGCGGGTCGGGATGGGAAAGGAGAGGCGGCTGCCAAAGCACCGGCAGCCACGAGCAAAGCGAGAGAGTTCATGATGGTGAAAGAGTCTGTGAGATGTGTTTCCCAGAATGCTCGAAAGGATGCAGAGTCTGACAGAAGCGAGGGAACAGCATCACGGGGCAACGAGCTCTTTTATGGTTTACACACTGCCCCAGGTAGAAGAAAACAGAGCTACGATGTCACCGCCCGAACATGTTGCTGGGGTGCTGAGAGCTCCCATTGCAGCCGGACCACAACTGAGAGCATGCGCTCTCGCGCAGCGTATCTTTTCCGCATGCTCGACGTTACCTTTCCTGGACACGAGAGAAGTCGTGAAAAAAGCATGCCATAAGGGGCCAGCTACCCACCGAGCTAAAGCTTCTGGTGGAGCGATGTTTAGGTACCGAGTAGTCTGTTTGTCGGTATACTAGAACGCCTTGTCGAAGCTTGAGGGCAGAGTGGATCCTTAACTGGGTTCTGTACAGCGTTGCCAATCCGCGCTAGTGATGCTAAGCAATGAGCGCCAAGGCAACAGGCCAACCAATTCTGAAGTTCAAGCACGTGTCGCCCGACTCTACTTCTTTCTTCCAACGACAACCTCATGATTTGGACCTTGAACCTCATGCATCTCCGGCAAGGTTCGAGCAGGAACAGACTGATTAGAAACGTGTTCCTTCTGATAGGATGGAGACGACGGACAACCTAGCTTTCAGAGTCTTGCCGGAGGATGACCGCTTCTCGCTACTGGCAACACCTGCACAGCGTCCTCAACATGCATCAATGTCACTTTCCGGCAAAGGGGACCCAACAATAGCCTTGCCATTTGTGCTGGTA